GTGAATACGTGTAATTTTAGCAAGTTCAAATTTTAATTAAGAAGCTCACATTGGTTTTTCCTCTGGATCAATATCATTCGATGAATTCTTTCTTATGATTGATTTTCTTGAAAGATTTTTTCCTTTTCATATGCATTTTTTTTCTATATTTTCTTATCACGCATGCTTTAAAAGAGCATTTTCACTTTTCACGATTGCGAATTTCACAGATAATTGCCTGCTGCTAGAAACTTTTATCCGACGTTGTAAGAAACTCTGTCGACTGTTTCCTCTTCGCTTAATGGACAAGCATCTTGGATACTATTGACAAATTTTACTTCATTTCATTTGTATTTCAAAACATTTAAACAAATATAAACTAAGTGAGATCTTCTGTCAACGAATCTTTCGTATTTTCGTTTTTTCCTTTTTCCTTCATGTCTTTATATTCACTTTAGTTCGTTGGAGTAAATCTCATCGTTTTTAATTTCCTTTATATCCTTGTATCTACGTAGTTTTTTTTTTTTTTTTTTTTTAATGCGAATTTAGGTTCATCACCGTTTCTTTTCACTTCGTAGTTATCAGAAAAGACTTATTTTCCGCTAAGACAGTTCTCGTTATGAAACAAGATTCGTCCCGTCTTCTGCGTAAGCGCTTCGAGCACTATCCTCAATTTTTCATCAATCTCGAGATTCATACAATTCAAACATTTTTCTTCCAGCTTGAGATAAATCTGACTTCTCAAGAATTCTCTGTCGAATCTCGATTCTTAATCCGGGAAATGAAAGTTCTTAAACGATATTCCGTATTAATATCTTCGGAAAAATCATCCACTGCTCGAGTTATAAACAAATACAGAAATTGTTGTTTATCGCACAAATGAAAAAACATCTTTGTTTTATCATGAAACTCAATCTTGTAGGTATACTGTTATCAAATACTGTTATTAAATTCCAGAGAGAAAAGATTGTGTGATATTGAGAATCACATCGATCCATGGAAAATATCACTCAAAATTATAATATATTTCCATGAACAACCATTTTTACATCCAAGATCTAGCTTATTTGAAGATACTTGCCCGTTCTGCCGATGTTTCCGACCATTCTTGCTTGAATCTATCAGACTCTACGTCTCAGAATTAATACTATCTATTCCCTTCATTTACTTTTGATCTTCGAACATTTTATTATGTCCGAAATGTCATCGACAACTTCTTCTGTTCTTCATGGAAGAGAATCCAATCTGCAACATAAATTAACAAATGAAATAGCAATCTTGGTATCGTTTTAACTCTAAATCAATTTTAACAAACTTGTAGTTTTCGTCTCTTATTGTTATTAACAAGTTATTACTCTTTTTTCATCTTCCAAACTATTTGTTAAATCAGATTTGTTATACACATACAATATTCTCATGTATATTCAAACATTTTCGCATATAAAAATACATACAGTAAATTTGTAATAAATTTATTTTACTGGTGTAACAATTTTTTGTGTGGTTTTCGAAATTTTTAAAGTTATCTTTATTCTTTTTAATTGGATCATATATTTTTTTCATTATAAATTGAAAGAATATTAAATTCCAAATAAAAAATTATTGAACCACATTGACCATAAAGATAATAAAGAGATATTTTACGATAATTTGTCTTGAGGATAAAAACTGCGTAGTACTGTCAAGACAATGTTTATAAACACCAGTATTATTATATATCTTACATTCGGATGTAGAGTTATTTACAGACGAAGCAACATTTACCAATCATGGTACCAACAATTTACGAAATTTACATTATTAGGCATCAAATAATTCCC